AAGAATAAAATATAAATAAATATGTCGAAAAAATAAAATATAAAAAAAAAATAAAAAAGAAACTTGAAATTAAAATTTCTCTCAAAACTTTTTTTTTTTTTTTTTTATTAAAATGTTTTTCCAAGTTAAGTTTCTGGATTGCATTTTTTTTTTCTTATTTCTATTTAAAGAAATAATGGAACAAAAATCACTCCATAAAATAATAGCTTTCTTGTATAGAACATTTTTTATATTCATATATCACAGGTCGTTTGAATGAATATTGGATTTTATTTTTCATTTAATATTTTGAAAAGTGGTCTTTGATTTTTAACGTTTCAGCACAAAAATGATTTAACTTTACAAAGCCTTGCCTTGCAGCTCAGATAAGATGATTTTAACAACAAAAACTGATCTTAAATTTCAGCAATTTTACAAACACGTTTATTTTTTCTTCATATTTAAACTCTAAAAGCACCAGAAATCAAATCTCGTTACTTAAACGAATAGTAATTAACATTAAGCAGGTGTTTACTGTTGAGTTGAGACCAAAGTTAGCCTGCAGCCTCAGGTGTTACGTCTCTTTTCTGGTTTTAACGTGATGACGTCAGTGGAAGAGCTTTCAGGTGAGCTATCTCCGCCAGCTCTTGAATCGCTTTAAAAAACAAATCAGGAGTGATTTAAAAGTAAGAAGTGACTCACCCTGAAGCTGGAGCTTAACTCTGATCATTCGCTGTGTTTTCATGCCACAGGCCGCCGCAGTCAGACAGTAGAGACGCTCTGCTGCTCCTCCTCTCACCTGCTCAGGTGCATCAGGAAGTATCGGTAGAGCCTGCGGCTGCAGAGAGCTGTGCTTTCGGCTGGGAGGAGCCCGGGTTCCGCCCAAAGCCTGCAGGGGGGGGGATCAGTAACGCAAATAGAACCGGAACACCCAGTAAACAGGTTGGGAAAGAAAAGAAGCGCAACCCGCCCAGAGTTAATCCTTTAAACCCAGCCTGCATCTGGTTCCCATGACAACGAAAAAGCTGAATTAAAGTCGCAGGGAAATAATATTTAAATGTCAAATCGTTCTGGCTTAAACATGTATATAAATGTACTCTTTATCAGACCATATTGTCCAAAAAGTTAGAAAATTTCCATTTAAATAAAAATCCTTTTTCCCCCTCCATCCTATGCAGGCCAGCTAGTTATATGTCAGCCTGAACACCTAAATTCGGCCAATCATATATCAACGCTCATCTGTCAATCACATTTTTTCGGTCATAGCACCTTGATTCATATGTTGCTTGAAATAAGAATCATTTACTTTACCATTGAGTTCCGTCCCATTGGGAACCTACTAGCACTAAGTTGCTAACTGGTTAGCAACAATGCTACCAACAAACCGGCCACAACCAAAACTTGCTTTCGAACCTTCTGCCACAACAATCCCGCCCCCTTGATAAATGACCAATCACATTCTTTCTATTCACTCGTGTGCAGTCATGCACCAATGGGGAGAATTCAGACATTCAGCGGTTGGAACAGCCACTTTCCTACAACTTTAAATCAACCAGGTTTCTGCTTTAAATCTGGACTAATTTGAATAAAAGAAAACAATCACATTTACTAAAAAAACCCAAAACAAACTTTTTTTTAATCTCTCTAGATGCGAGCTATTTTGAAATTACTGATTACTGTGAAGGTCTGAACTTGTTTTCCAACTTCCAGGAAGTGGATTTAATTATGTTATACTTTCTCTTGTCAGAATAATGGTTTACCATGTCATAAATCATAACTATTGACAAAATAAAGATGTTGAGCCTGAGAATTTTATCCTCTACCTCAGAGGACTTCAACAGGGGGTCCACGGAGGTACTGCATGGGGGTCGTGAAACGTTTTGTTGATTAGATTTTTTTTATATTCTGCCCTGAAATTTTTTCCACTAATTGAAATGTCTTTAAATCCACATTAACATGAATTCAACACATTGTAGTAAACAGATAAATGGAGGCAGAAGATGTCTTTCAGTCATCAATGTTCACATTCAGCGACACACAGGAGCTCTTTCAAGCTGGACACCGTTTCATTCACAACACCTGTCCCATCAACCTGGAATCAGAAATACTTTAATAATCCCAGGGAGAAATTACTTTAGTTACATTCCTCCATCTGTAATAGAGTGACTATAGGACCAGTTTGATAGAACACTATTTCATACAATATATTTAATTAGGGGGTCCCTGCTCCATCTTGCCATCAGTTTGGGGGTCCTTGGTCTGGAAAACATTTAAGATCCCTGCTTTAACTAATTCTGTACTTTGATTTAAATTGGTTGATTTTTAGCTCTGTTCATTTTTCCCTTTAAACATGTTCTAAAGCGTTTTTCTAATCTTGAATTATCTTTGAACTATAGGCTCCAACAGAAAATAATCTAAATAGTTTTGTGACATGATCGAAACTGAAATCTGTTCAGAAATGATGACAGCAGTCGCTTCGACTCAGAACATTTCTTTAATGTCTGTTAACACAATCAGTCGGACTTGAAACAACCAGATTACAAAGCTCACGGAGCATCTGGGAGGCAAGGCTCGTCAGGTGACCCTACCTGCGCCTGAACAGGTGGGTTCCCAGTTCGTTTCTTTAACTGGAAACGGAATCAGTTTCCTGAAAGTTACTGGAGTCCAGGCTGGACACACCTGGTCAGGGCAGGATGTCAGGGTCTGAAGGACAAACGGGAATGTGGTTGAAATCGGAGCAACGGTTGGGAAGATGTTCATTCACGACGAGAAAGACCAGATGTTATTGGGCCTGCCGGAACCAGAACAGGAGTTCCCTTCACGGCCACAAACATGGATTAAAAGGTTCTGTTAGAACCAAGTCATGGTCCATTTGGCAGAGATAATGAAAACAGAGACACTGTTGCTTTAAAGATTATGGAGTGAAATTTGTTCCATTATTGTGACAAATAACATGTTTTGTAAATGGAAATAAAAAAATATCCAGAAGTTAAAATTTTGAAAAACATTTAAATAAAAAAGAGTTTTATAGATACATTTTCCAGTTTTCTCAGATTTTTTTTTTTTATTTTTTCAGTCGTACTCTTCATATAACATTTTTTTTGTGCCAAACAAGTAGTTTAGTTTAAATAAATAAACTAAAAAAAAAATGAAATGTTGTGTACAGATTTTATATTTT